TCTAATATGGCCGCCATCTTAAAAGAAAGTGCAACTTTGCTTCTGGCCTAATAATTTTTTTTTTGTAGTTGCTTGGTAGTTTTTGTGTGGATATCAAGATATAAAACATCCTCCTTAAACTTCGTCTCTCGATGGTAGAATCCCATCTCTTCAACTGGTGAAAAGGAGAATGATGTCAAACCTTGGCCATGTAAGTCTAATAAGGCCGTCATCTTCCAACGAAGTCGAGCATCTCGGGTCTATTAACGTTTTTCTTAGTACCTGGATAGTTTTTTCTTAACATCAAGACAGTGTACTGTCGCCAGGAACTTCATCTCTCCATATTAGAATCCCATCTCTTTCACGGGTTGAAAAGAGGATGAAGTAGAAACAACGGCCATGATAGTCTAATATGGCCGCCACCTTGAAACGAATTGTAAATTTTCTAGTCTAATAACTTTTTATGTAGTACCTTGGTAGCTTTTGTGTAGGTTTCAAGATATAAAATTGTCACGTAACCCTCTCGATGGTAGAATCTCTGAGTCATCTCTTCAACGGGTGAAAAAGAGAATGATGTCAAACATCGGCAGTGTTAGTCTAATGACAACCGTCATCATGAAACGAAGCGTAACATCTCAGGTCTAATAACATTTACCTTAGCAGTTTGGTAGTTTTTGTCTTTACATTTAAACAGTCTACTGTCGTCTGGAATTTTATCTCGTGATATTAGAATCCTATCTCTTTCACGGGTTAAAAAGAGGATGAAGTCCAAACAATGGCCAAGTTTGGCGTATATGGCCGCCATCTTGAAACGAAGTGTAAATTTTCTGTAGTAGCTTGGTAGTTTTTGTGTGGATATCAAAATATAAATTTGTCACGCAAAACCTCATCTCTCGATGGTAGAGTCCTATCTCTTCATTGGACGAAAAAGAGAATGATGTGAAACATGGGCCACGTTAGTCCAATATGGCCGCCATCTTAAAACGTATTCCAACATCTCAGGTCTAACAACCTTTTTCCTAGTACCTTGCCAGTTTTTGTCTTTCCATCAAGACAGTGGAATCTCGCCTGGATTTTCATCTCTCGATAGTAGAATTTCATCTCTTTTACGGGTTGAAAAGAGAATGATGTCAAGCAACAGCCATGTAAGTCTGATATGACCACCATCTTGAAACGAAGTGCAACTTTTCTGGTCCTAAGCTTTATTATGTGGTATATCAAGATATAAAACTGTAACGTAAAACTTCATCTCTCGATGGTAGAATCAAGTTCCTCGACGGGTGAAAAAGAGAATGATGTCAAACATCCACCATGTTAGTCTAAATAATGGACTGAAACATAAAAACACAGACGCAATTGTTCGTGTGCATACACGTATGCAGCCGTAGTTTTAATAATAACCTTACATGTACATTGATTGTCGATCAATTTACTCATCGAGTTCGGCAGTAAAACAAACGAGCAAAACATTACGAAAAATAAATTCATCCTTAGCTTTGTTTTATCGTTGTTGACTTCATTCACATTTGTCATCATGGCCTAAAAATGAGTAGCCTTAGTTTGAAGAAAATTAAATTTCGGTCAATCGATCTGACCTGCTGGCGATCGACGCAACCACTGCGTTTACGATTCTTAAAAGCCTTAAATACGAGTGCTTGAAAATATTTTTGGTCCAAGGGCGACAGCAGTCATTTTGAAAATTCTCCATCCTTTTAAATATCCTGGACTTGGAGTGATGTATTTCGAATAAATGAAAACTTCATTCAGCAACTGTCCGTCATCACTTCCCGAGATGGCAAAGATGGCGAGCTTAGTAACCAAGCTCTAGCGGGGTGAATATAGCGTCATATGATGAGCTTTTCGACCAATCAGAATGTCCAATTCTTATATTCACCTCTGGAAATTATACTAAATAGATTTAGCCAAGCCTAAAAGCAGAGCTCCTGGGCAGGGTTGTTTAAAGCCTGATCAAGCGAACACAGGTTAAGCGAGAATTTTGATTTGAGATTTACGAGGTGGTGGAGTTTTTGTGAGGTTTTCTGTTTATCTTGTTTGGCCTTCTGTTTTAAGTTTGAATGATCTCAAACTACAAACGCAGCCCATGACCAAAGAGCGGTGAAAAACATTTGTATGCAAGAAAAAAATTATACTTCGGTTAACTTTTAATCGTCGGTTAGCGTTAACCACCTTCCGAACAACCTGGCCCTGATCGTCGCCCTAATAACAACACATAAACCTAACATGAGCCCGCGATCCTAAAGAAAGCCAATACTTGATCAGCGGTCATTTTAAGAAACACATGACCTCGACAAGCTCTTAACCTGAGCTCGCGATATGGTCACCTGATACTGGTCAGCGGATACCCTGCTTTGACAGGTGTCAATTGACCATAACATGGAAGTCCAATATCAGACATATGCTGTAAACCAAGACTGCATTACTTGGTATTAGCTGGATGGCCGCCATGCATGTTGTGCGACGTCGTCTTTGGGCGCACGCGCCCATGATCCATGCCGCTAGCCATTTTGACCATGAAAAAAGAGTTGCATGGGTGTTTAGCGGAACTCCGGCGGCCCGAAGGGCCGCCAAGCGGAGCCCAATACCCATATGTATAGGTAGTCATACGGTTTCGAGTTCAATTTGGAATTAATTTGTACGAGTGAAATTTTCCAAAAGCTGAAAGTGCACGAGCCGCTTCGGCGCGTGCAATTTCAGCTTTTTTGAAAAACTCACAAGTGCAAATTAATTCCAAATTGAACTCGAAACCGTATGACTACCTATACATATGGGCCGAAGACCTTTCTTGAAACCATTTTTCTCATTCGAGAAAACTTTTTTCAAAGTTTCCGCACAAAATTTTCGTCATCATTTTACGTAATATCATTGGCTTCGAAAATTTCCTATTGTC